AGGGGCGGCGGGAGGGGGGGGGGATCGGCTCCCCGACCCAACGAGCGGCTCAACAAAGGGACAACTCTGCGCGAGATGATCTTGTTTACGTACCGGGTATCGATTTACCGAGATCGAGATACTCCCGCACGGACGGGCTCAGGAATCCAGGCGGCACTGCCGGCGCCTCGTTCGTCGGATTGTTCCTCTCGTCCACGGGATCATCGTAGTAATAGTCGTCCTCGTCGGGGTCGAGGGGCTTCGCCCGCTTCGACACTTTGCTGCCCTGAGCGCCACCCACACCGCCTGCAAAAGTAATTTTTAGCTGCAAAATACATCGGACGATATATAATAATTATAACAATCTTCATTGAAATGTAAGATAACAGAAGTGTGGATAAATGTAGAGTAAAAAAATAAATGGGTAGACGCACCTCAGAAAGTGGGGTGTATCAGCGTGTTGTTTTACGCTAAGAAAAGTGATTGCTCGATTGATTTTCTTCCTTGTAAGTAACGGATTGTCTTAGAAAGAATATTTTCTTCATCAACAATCTTACAATATACTTATTATACAAATTAGAAAGTCTCATTAGTTATATTATATTATCATCTTATTACAAATTAGAAAAACATTGGATATATTCAAAACAAGAATTGATTTTCTTTTAAGAAATATTATAAAAATTGATCGAACGAACGACTTTATATGATAAGTAAATTGAATTTGTTTTAATTTAATAATCTTGATTGAAGTAAACTTAAGATTCAGGACATATTTTGAATAAATGTGATGAAACCTATGATAGATATGCGGTACAAATAATAAATTGTTCAATTAGTGAGTTAACAAAAATAATAGAAATATTACGAGAAACAAAATTACAAATGAATGTAAATGATAAGCGTTAAATTTGACAAAATCGGAGAGAGAACGTGAGAATGAATCTAAAATTAACACATACGTTAAACATTTTTACTATTTATTTCTATGGTTAAGCTTGTGAAAAACTTTAAATTTATACAAATGTATTTTGCCTATTAAGAAGAATTTGGTAGTCGACTTTTTTCAATATTTAAACATTCAAGCGGTTTAATTTACGGAAGTTCAAGTTGATTTGTTGCGCCCCAAGACTAATGGCTTTGCTATCCTCTAATTGCATTGTGCGCGCGCTTTTCTCTCCGTATTAATTCGCATGATTGAAGTGTTCTGCGCCGCTTCTACTGTTATTTCCTTCTTGAGTCTGGATCTCTCCGTGAGAAGAGAAAAAGAAAATGGGGACTGAAAGAGTGAGAGAGAGAGAGAGAGAGAGAGAGAGAGAGAGAGAGAGAGAGAGATGACAGAGACCAACCGCCGTGCTGCCTGGAACCTCCGGGAGTTGTGGTCATTTGAACAATTTGAAATTTAAATCATTCGAGAATGCAGGTCGACCGTCACGGGTTCCCGGAGGTAAACAAATTTTTACAGTCTCTTTAATTCATCATCCGGGGGAATATTTAATCGATGTTGTCCATCGCCGCGCTGTTTTTCTTGGTAGAAGCATGGCTGTTTTAATGCCTTATCTCCCTTTTGCTCCTGCGCGATACAGGTGCACAACGGTATATTTGCGTTCCAAACGTGTTCTTCGTCTGAACGTAGAAGATTCCTTCTATTGTACGGTTCCCGCTGAATATTAGTTACGCGGATAATTTTTGCGAAATTTGCGTTGTAATATATCGTGCTTGAATAACACGACGGTAAGTATATACCTTCGACGAACGTCGAATTTTCCGGCTCCATGTCAAACATTCGGTAACTTTTCAATTTGTCCCATACGAACGCACACAGTCGCCTAATCGAGAAGCGATAATAGCGGTTTAACGACAGAGACTGATCGCTGCGAGCTGAAAATTAATTAACTCTGAACTTTCGAAGCGTGTTAATTTCGATCAAGTGCCAGCCAATGTGCGACTCGGATCAGAGCTCGACCGCAGTGTGAATACATCTTGAATAACGCAGTCGAGTAGCGGTACGCGGTCGGCGGCTGCTGCAAAACTTCGACACGTCCTTTCGTTCCACAGATGTGTATCTCGTGAAAACTTTGCGTCATCTTGCCGCGTGAATGGACGAAGTTTCGTGTCGATCAACAGACTGGGTCAAGTCTCGAGAATCTTGAGTTTGGCTTCTACAAAGGTAGCCGTAGCCTTGCACGAACAGTGTTGCTTGCCTTGGCTGCCAACAAGAGTCACATTCGTGAAAAGGTGAAGATATTTAATATCGAAAATTAATTAATACGGACGAAGCTTCGGTATCGTGGATGCGGAATAAAATATTTTATCGCTCGGTATTTGATTAAGTTAACGGTCGGTCGACGAATCGTCATCGTAAAAATCAAGAAGGAATGACAAATTTGGTTATTCGCGATTTTTTCAACTCGCGAGCGTTAATGTCGACATCAAATACAATATTTCTTGTAAAGGTGAGAATCCTTTTCTACTCTACATTTTTACTTTATTTTGCAATGATTTAGCGCCAATACACTCTAAGACTGTCGACGGTAAAAATTTCATTCCAAACAAAAGTAGGTTGCAAAATCACCGCTTTAAAAGGGAATTTTTATTTCTTTGAACTTAATTGGTCTACTCTCAACAGTGTTTCTTCCTGTAAGAGAAATTCCAATGTCTGTGTATATAAAGCTGGGATGGTTAGAATTGTTAGACTAGTTTTGTGTTATATATAGAATATAGTTTATATACTTTTTAACGTGTGAAACTTCTTACATAGAAGTTCCTAACTATATCTCCTTTTTTTTTTTTAGGGAGAAAATAAATTTTTCATAATTAAATAAAAATCACTCATTCTCTCCTTGGAGTGATATTATTCGATTTATTATAATCTCCAAATTTATTCCTTTTTAACAGTAATAAATTCACTCCAATTATTGAGTGGATTTTTCACTCCCACCTTGCAGTAAAATGGCTCAGTTGCTACTAACGCTCGGAGTGAAATCTCAATTCAATGCTGTACAATTTTACTGTTACAGATTTAGAGTGATATTATACTACAGTACATTCAAATTTAAATATCGACAGTTATATGCCCATTTATAGAAAGCGAGCTCTTATATTCGACAGATGAAAGCTTTTTTAAAAGTTTCACACCGTTAATGATGAAAATCGTTTTATTACGAGCTCCATCAAATCGTGTATTTTATTTAAGCCTTTGATGCGACGTATACCTGTCGCACATAAATGTGACATCCGTATTATCTAATGAATATTATATTTATTCAGTATTCTTCCTTCATTCACCAACTTCCTTGAAATTCGCACACCGCTGTAAGAATTATGAAGAGAAAATCTGCAAGTCATTGCAGTCTTTGAATATGAGATAATTAAATAACAGAATATCACAGTAATTAGACAAAACAAGAAGTCTTCCTCAACGAGTTTTATTCGAGACAACGGATGCGGAATAAATATTATCACTCGGTCCTTGATTAAGTTAATTATCAATCGACGAATTGTCATCGGTGAAAGTTAGAAAGGACGAAAACATATATTTACTATTTAAACTAGCGAGCGTCAATATTATATACATATTTTTCGCAAGCGTGAGAATCGCTCCCACATGTTTTGAACAAGATATTTTCGCTATCCCAACGAGTTTTTCGTAAATCAAAGAGCACACAACAAGAGGTCTTCTCTCTATCCCGTTTTGTCATACCACAGATTTTCATTGATAGGCGTCAAAACAATTCGTCGTCCCTCTCGTGGTAATCACATGCACGGGCGAATTCATGATTAACGCGATAAATTCGACCACGTAATCGTGCTATGAATCCTTAGCAGGGCGTATCATAATCGGGGATAGCGTATGTATTACGCCGGTTTACGGAAGCTCGTCGGAATCCCGTGTTCATCCTGTTTGATGCCTGCCGCGGCGTCCGTGCCGCGGAAGCTAATTAATGGCTCATCGACGAGCAGAACTTTATGCGTCAAAACGCAGCGCAGGTTTAATTCGCGCTCGCGAGCAATGCCGTTCGTGTGCACGCGCGGGATTTACGATCGCGTCGTGTTGTTGATTTTCTTTCTTTCCCTCCCCCCCCCCCCCCCTCCCCTTCTTTCCCGCGTATGAATTTTACCGCTGCCGCGCCGGTCGCGCGTGAAATACGATTTTAATGTGTTACGCGGGATCCCAAAAATGCTCACTGTAAATACTATTAAGCATCGTAAAATATTCCTGTCCGCGCACGAATCGAACGTTGTTTAATGCTCTTCAATGCGCAACGTAAAATATTACTGTTTTTTTTTTCTTTTTTTTTTCTAGGGCCACGTTTGTGAGTAATGTTTACGATTGTGAAAATTTAAACGAATAAGTGAGCTTCTTTTTTTTTAATAAGTGATTTTTATTTTCCTTTTCCAAATAAGATTTTCAAGAAAATTGTATCGGAGGTGTTCTAATCATGCTACCTATCCAGTTATATATATATATATAAGTCCAGTTTCACAACTCAACTGGTTAATTCTTAATCGAGGTTTAACTTGTTTCTCATCTTCGTACAATTCTAGAATTTGAAAGAGATAGTGATTAAATTGAACTTCGATTTAGGGTTAATCGTGAATTATGAAACTGGGCCTTAGTCGTGAATTTTCATTATCTTAACTTGTAGTTTAGACTCAACTTTACTCAACTTGATGATAATGTAGAAAAAAAAAATGTGCTTTTTTAGCTACGATTAATCACTAAACTACTATTTAAATCTGAATCGGTGGATAATTACTGATATCAGTTGTCCAAGTATGCCACTGATAATCAGTGAATGAAATGTGAAATCTCTAACTTAGCTAATCTTTATTATATGATCTAACTAACCTTGTTTTGGTGGATAAATTCAATGAATATGGCATTGGAAGATTGAAATTAACGTGCAGATATCAGTATTTTAGTTATATAATACTCAAACATTCTTCCTTTTTTAGTTGACCTTCAATTAATCGTAAATAACTTTTAAAATTACTGCTATGAAATCATTACTCTCTAAATTTGAATCAGTGGACAGTCACTAATTATCCAGTGACATACTTGGACAATAAGTATGCCTTCCAACAAGCGATACAAATGACACAATGGATTATTACAGCCTTATTGTTTGCCAATGTTAAACAAAGATGACATGATCTGTATCGCTTATTAGTATAAGTATGTCACTAGGTAATTAGTGACTATCCACTGATTCAAATTTAGAGAGTAATGATATTTCATAGCAGTAATTTTAAAAGTTATTTACGATAAAATCATTAATTTAGTAATTAACTATAGAAAAATA